GGGATGGTTGTGATGAAGAGCCATTCTAAAGGAGGATGAGCACACAAATCCCCCATGTTGAGGTATGAGTCTGATCATATTTAAATGATTGTCTAATCTATCCCCCTTTTCAGATATGTCAGATCACGTACGAAACACGACATCGACATGCGCATCGGGATCCACTCGGGCTCAGTGCTGTGCGGCGTGTTGGGTCTCAGGAAATGGCAGTTTGATGTCTGGTCCTGGGACGTGGACATTGCCAACAAGCTGGAGTCTGGAGGCATACCAGGGTAAGGGAACCAAAGTTTCACTTTCTCCAGGTTAAAAAACATCAGGAGGATGCTGAAAAGAGCCTTACCCTACTTGAGGGTAGTGCTGCTAAGCAGAAGTAGCAGAAGTTACTCTCCTGAAACCACAAAGGGAAAGGATCAAGATGCAGTTCAATATTGAACACTGGAAGACAAAGGCAGGCAGAGACTTCAGTGCAACAATCCAGTAGGCAAAATTCAGAGTAGCCTACAGTCCAGAGTTCAGAAATCCAAAAAAATCTGATGTGCAGAAGTATAGAGGGGCTAGGCATAGAGGCAGAGACAGGCAACAGGCAAAGGAGTTTTTCCAGAGACCCAAGAACCACTAGAGATTCTGACAACAGCGAGGCAAATAGGCAAACGCAATCAGGTTCACTAACAGGGTGGCAGGCTTGAAATGCAAGAGAATCTTGCACCAGAGCGCAGGAGAAGGCTGGCTTAAATAGTGCCTAGCACAGGTGAAACAGGGACAATAATCAAGGCAGTAACAGGTGCATGTCATTAGGGGAACTTGCTGAAACAATCTAGAATACTAAAGCAGAAACACTGCAAATGTGTGCATGACACTTCTTCACTCTACTCGTCATATTTCGGTTGCAAAGAAGGAAGAATTGGTTTGATTAATAACTGCTGTTTTTGAACAACCAGGTAGAATCTGTTATCTGAGCTGCGTTGTAACCTTGAACATGTTCTTTACCTAAATGCACTGCATAATATGATAAACAAAAAGGAGCTGGAGGTCAGACTGAGCCACAAAGATCCCACCATGAATGTTTTCATCACATCTAACACATCGGACACCTTTCTCTAATGGGTGGCGTGACAAAGTGGACGTGACCTTTGATCACAGCGACATTCAGCCACTGACCTGACACTGCGCTCTGTTTCATTCACACCTCCACAGTTCACTGACTGGCTGCTTCTTTCTGCCTGGATTTGCCTCCAAGATGCTTTGCCCTGGGTGGAAACTCGTCAAATTCACTTTTTGTCCCTCTGTTGGAGATCAGAATACTAAAGACCTGTTTGTTTAATGGTTATTCTGAGTTAATTTATAGGGGCCAAAATGATTTTATTTCTGTTCCTACATAAAATAACTGTGTTTTGTGTGTGTACAAAAACATTTGAAAAGCTTCAAATTAGAAGAATTTGGTCTTATTTTGGGAACTAAAAAATATTGTAAACATGTTGACCTGCCTTTCATTAACATTAGATTAATCTTGTGTTTTAGGCGAATCCACATTTCCAAAGCAGCTTTGGATTGTTTAAATGGTGACTATGAGGTGGAGGAAGGACATGGGAAGGACCGAAATGACTTCCTTCGTCGCCACAATATCGAGACGTACCTGATAAAGCAACCTGAGGAGAGCCTGCTCACCCTGCCGGAGGACATCATGAAGGAGGCAGCCAGCTCGGCCGACCGGCGGGCCAGCAGCGCCACTTTTAACGAGGCTTCCTGGAGTCCTGAGCTCCCTTTTGACAACATCGTCGGGAGCCAAAACGTAAGCCCCGCCTCAGCTTGACGTACGGCAAGTTGTGTTTTGTGACACGTTGTGACAGAACGGCCGTCTAAACCAAAAGCTTGTTCTGCAGCTGAAGGAGAACTTATCTTCTTCCTAATGTGATCAATCAGGAGCAATGCTTTTTTAAATGTTTACCTAAAAAAAGAAAACAAAGCAGCGACATTTCAAACAGGACTCTATGCTTCACTGCAGGATGACGCTGTTTGAGGAGATGGCGAGTTAGTTTGCAGTGCATGAGATCTTCAGTCGTCTTGCCTGTCGGTTGGTTGTTTTGTCCCTTTAGTTTTCCTCAGAGCAAGCAGACAGATTTCTGTGTGAAGAAGGTGTTAACATGGTGCGTGTGTCAGTCTGTCTGTTTGAGAGGATGATGAGCATCTGATGGTGTGGCCCATTTATCATCCTCCTCGGTTTTTGGTCTTCATCCATCTGTCTGTCTTACAACAAATCAGCTGGTTTTTTTTGTTTGTTTTTTTTCTGCTGAGGATTAAACTGGAAGCACCTAAACTACCCAATAAGGTTCTGCCGGAATAGAAAATTGTGCACAGTTCAGGCATCATTCACTTTCAGTCAGTATTGAACAGCCTCACCTTAAGGTCAAATATTCATTTGAGTGCTCCACCAACTGAGCTCTTTAACACCAAAATATTTAAGTCATTCAATTATGGTAGAAACATCCACTTATTCCAGACTCTGTTTGGTTTTTACTTTATTTGTTAATTATTTTCAATTATGTATCTATTAATTAATGGTTCATTCAAAGGATTTAGCTGAAAGCACATTTGATAAAGGAAAAATACTAAAACCAGGAAATAAGCTTGACTTGGAATTACTTAAGTGTGATTCATAAAGGAGAAACAAAACCACAGGCAGCCTTCGAGTGACTGAGGGGTTCTGGACCCTTAAATTCCTGTTTTTAAAGTTTTCACCCTTTTTAGATCAGATTTTCTTCAGTTTAGGTCTTTTTTGTTGGCCGCGGAAAAGCAGCTAAATCTAACTCTAAGTTTGTAAATAATTGAAGAGATGATTGAGGAAAAGAG